TCCGTATAAATCCTTATTGATTCCATCTAGAAAAGAATTGCCCTGAGGTGCGTGCAGGAAGCTGCAGAACCCTAGCTCATCCAAACGGCCAGTTAATATGAGCCAGACTACAAAATCGAAAACATTAGACCATGCTACTAACGTAATTGTGAGTTTAAGTTAGAAAGTTGCAACACAAATGTAGTCACTCACAGATATCTGTTCCTATGTTCAGCTATAACAAGAGATGCACCAATCCATTTTATTTTCTGATCCAGTTTGATACCGATAATGGGCTGAGCGTATCAGCCGATATCCAATACTGATCTGATTCAATTGTTGAATTGATGAGCCTCTTGAACATGAACATCTTGAATGTGAGTAAAGGCTTTAGCCTTGACATAAATAAGGCAACATTTTAACAGAGATATAAATGCACTTTATATAATTTAAAAACAAATAAACAGCAACAAGAAAAAAAATCACAGTTCCATGTAAAATGCATTCAATTGGATCTCTGATATCCAATGTAATATCACAGATATCCGTTCTAGGTAATTAATCACTATCAAAGCGGATCAGTTCATTTCTAGCTAGAACAAAATCTGAGAATTCTGAGGTTAAACCTGAACAAATGGGACTAAAGGGGAAAAAAATTAACCAACAAGCAAACAAACCTCCCTCCTTTAGAGAAAAGCAGCTCTGAGAGTTAGTTTCTTCAGCTGATATTTAGCCCCCGCCTCAGATGTGTTACAATGGAAATGTTTACTGAAGGGAAATTGGATACAGGATACAAACTCATATTACACCTCCAGTGACGACACTGAGTTATTTCTGTTGACCTCCTGGTCTGTTTTTAAACACCTTGGAAGATGAGAGTCGCTGAACATATAGCGGTTATACACTAATCTACATATGTAGATTTTTGTTTGTTTATTACGGCAGTTCTTCTACTTGTATTTCGGGACTAAGGGCTGCTGACTGGAGTAATCTGCCTGATTTTTATTACAATCAAATAGAACATCTTGCAAATATTATATTTAGATTTTTAATATCTACTTAACAAGAGTTGTTTCTCAACAAGGACTGAGCAACAAAAACGAATGATACTGTATATAACCACAGAAACCTGATTAATATATTAGAAATATGTCTGATTGGTTTCTATAGGTTCAGTAATAGAAACGATGGATCCAGAACCATATATCTCATAGACTTAGACAAATTTTAATTTCGATGTATACAGCTTTTCAACAGTGAATGAGCAGCTTAGCAGTGAAATGAACATTTCCAGCAGTGAATAAACTGTAAACAGTATAAGAGAAAAGGAAAACCAGTTCAAAGACATGGTGCAAAAGGTATTGATACGGAAGGTTCAGAGCAGTGCAAAATAAATATGGTGAAAAATGCAGTTAAAGGGATTAGAAAATTCGCCATGTAGTGCAAATATAATGTTTACAAGTGTGATGCAGAACAGTCCATGGTGGGGGTATGAGGGGTCATTTATAACATTATGGGTTCGGAAAACGCAGCGCTGGGATGAAATGTCTTTTATGGAGGGAAGAGGAGCCCCGATGATGCTTCCTGCTGTCCTCACTTCTCTTCTCACATTCTTCCAGTCTGCGGCGCTGCAGCGTCCACAACACACAGTGAGACAGCTGCTCAGAACGCTCTCTATGGTGCTTCTGTAGAAGGTGGGGAGGATGGGTGGGGGCAGGTGGGCTCTCCTCATCATCCGCAAGAACTACATGCGTTTCTGTGCTCTTTTGACCAGTGAGGCTGTGTTTATAGTCCAGGTGAGGTTGTCTGTGATGTGAACCCCCAGGAATTTTGGGCTTCTGACCACCTCTACAGCTGAGCTGTTGATGACCAGTGGAGCGTGGTTAGGCCAATTCTTTCTAAAGTCCAAGATGATCTCCTTCATCTTCTCCACGCTCAGGATGAGGCTGTTATCTCTGCACCAGTCCACCAGCTGCTCCACCTTCTCTCTGTAGTCCAGGTCATTGTCGTCTCTTATAAGGACCACCACCGTTGGTGTCGTCTAATTGCTGGTGAACCTGGGGGTGCAGTCACGTGCCATCAGAGTGAACAGCATCGGGCTCAGGAAGCAGCCCTGAGGGGAGCCTGTGCTTATAGGGTGATGACATCAGAGGTGTTCTGTCCGACCCGGACGGACTGAGGTCTGTCTGTGAGGAAGTCTAGCAGCCAATTGGGGGTGACCTGCTGTAAAGGTTAACACTTATGTTTAAATACTATTAAGGCTACAGTTACTTCAGTTTGGACATTTTTTTTCTTTCTTGTCCTTACTTCAAATAGTTATAACAAGCAAAAAGGTAAATATTTATAGATTTTACATGATATGAAAGGCTTATATTGTGACATGTTTCTCATCCACATCAAACAGCACTGATGCTACTTATATAAACATTTTTTAAGTGTTGGATAGCAGGTATAATCACCTCAAAGGTGTGGAGCTGAGGATCCGTTATTAATATAAGAAATCGGTCCTATATTAGGAAAAAAAATGAGAATAGGTTTTCCTGTTTCTAAAATCTACAATGTTTATTGTTTTGTTCTAGACCAGGACTAAATCTGAGAAAAAAATAGATGATATTTTTTTTACAAATGTTACTTTCGGCCTTTGTCCTTTTACTGATTGCTCATGCTTAATTTTATTGCAGTGTAATAGCCGAAAATAAAAAAAAACCTTACAACAACTGCCCTTTCACAAAAGATGAAATAATGAAATATTTTCCTCTAACCAGCTTCAAAGTGTAACATTTATAAGTTCAACAAAAACAAGAATTGCATTACTAATTTCTGATCATACTTTTTTTGGGGGGTGTTTTTTTTTTTTTTTTACAGGGTGGTTCAATTCGAGGTCTGCCAACAGGCACAGCTAAGAGCCACTCAGGTTTATTTTTAAACTACAGTCGCAAGACTGTGAGAGCAACTCTGTGCAAATAAGGCAGAATGAAGACTAAACATTACTGGGCTGTAAATTTACTGTTTGATAC